GGTCCAACGATCCTGCAGGACTGCCAGCCCGCGTAAATCCGTTCTCGAAGCCCCGATCGCGAGAACCCTCCGTTCCGAATTTATCCTCCGCTCGTTCGGCCCCGACACGGCGAACAATCAGTTTAGAAGTCCGTAGAGCTCGGGAATAATAAATATGTATCGGGGACAGTTTCGTGTCCGACGGTTCTCGTCGTTCTCGTCGTTCTCCAAGACGAAACCGTAGATCGCGAGAACATCTCGGTCGCACGTGGAGATTTTCCTGGTCACCGATCACCGAGTCCGAAAGGATTCCTCCAAGATTTACCGTCGTTACGTAACGATCGTGTAACGGTCTGTGCACGGTCGACGCGTGATACTTTCTCACCCCCCCGGGGGAGGGCGAGAGAATCGGTGGTGAGCACGCGAGGAGGAGATTCGAGGAGAGGCTGACGGTACTCGGGAATTGCATCGAGCCAGAGTTCTTTTGTGGATCCACGGCTGTCCGTTATCCCCGGACCCCGTCCAAGTTTTCCAGATCCTCGCGTCCCGACGGTCCTCGTGTACTCCCCGTGATCATCGATACCAGAAGGCACAAAAGAAGTCTGCGACAAATTGGCAAGTTGGAACAGCGTCGAGAACGTACGGATCGAAGCGGGGGCATGGGCGGGGATCGGGACGGGCCGGTATTCGAGGTATATTTTCGCGAACCCGACGTATCGAGAGAGGAATGTGTGTCTCGAGACGAGAGATACTTTGTGTTTCCGTTAGAGATCAGCTAAGAACTGGCAAACAGAAATGCATAATTGACGACGGTAGAAAAATCGAGAGACGGTACGGCGATCAGCGGTTTAAAAATGAAACATGTACGACGGGAACCAGGGGGGACGTCGACGACGATTTCCCGGCGATCCAGGCTCACTCCCCTCGTGAATCTTGCAACGAATCCTCCTTTGCTCTTCCGTCGTTCGCGTTCCGCTCGGGTAGACGGAAAAAAAATAGTGAAATTCGCGGGGCCGTCTCCGAGGAGATCACGCATCGTTTCCCGGTTGAACGGCCTCCGTTCAATTTTGCAACGCGGTTAAATTCTCGGTGACCTCGCGCTCGACTCTGATTCCCGTGACTCCTCCCGATGGTGTTTTCTTTCGCGACGAGCCTCGTATCTCGAGTCGTTACGCTGTTTAATCGGTCGAGGCTGCTACCGGTCGTAGATTCGACGCAACAGGTTCGTCAGGGAAGTGGATCGTTTCGTCGCTCTGCGTACAAGTTTCATCTGTAAAACTGTGAACTCGCGTATCGCGCGCCGTGCGCATACGAGCCGAGAGGTCAGGCCGTATTTTTGAATCACCCCGACGACGGGAGAGTCCGTAATTTTTTGCGAGGGAAGGCGACGTGACTGGAAACCGACGGAACGATTACTTTATGCCGTGCCGCCGCAGTGGCGATGCGTTCGGAAAGCAGATCGCGGGTTCCTCTTCTCGTCCCTTTCCTCCGACGAGAAACATCTGCGAGACGCGCGAGTGAGTGACCCGTTGAACTCGCGAGCGAGCCGAGTCGAGCACGCGGAATTTTAATCGACCACTCGTATCGTTTTACGTCGACGCGTCGAACGATCGCGCGTCGCTCTTTTCATTGGGACGAGACCTCGTCTCCGAGATTCCGAGAGCCAGCGACCGAGCGGAAGTCGGAGAGGGAGACGGGAGGAAAACGGTCGGAAGTGGCGCGTGGGACGGACGATTGGATTAATTTATCGCGTGGAAACGGTATCCGCCTTTTTCCCCGGACGCTCGCGCTGTTTCTAACTGTTCCGTTGCTCGCCGTGTTGCTTCACTCGGGAGCCAACTAAGATTCGAATCACGCCCGAGGAGATGCCTCGCGATTCGATTTATTCGAGAACCGTCCACGCGCCGCTCCCCGTTTCTAACGGTCTTCCTCTCCCGCGTTCCTCTTTTCACGTCGTATCTACGACGCTCGTTACCAGTAAAACTATTTTTCGTTTCTCGTTCGATCGCGACCTGACGACGACGACGACGACGACGACCACGCACGACCGGGAGAATCCTCCTGATCGTCGAAGAAAAGAGCCGGCCAAAGAAATATCAGTAGAGTTGCAGGAATAAATCTAAACTTTTCGACTCGGTTGGCAAAAAGCTTTTTCATGAAATGCAGATCGTTGCCACGGTTCGCTTATTCCCGGCAACTTTCGGCCCGACGATTTATCGCGTCGTTCGGCCACGATAAAGTGTCCCGCGTCACTCGCTTTCCCCGCTCGCCGAATAAAACCAGCAGTCCGAGTTTATTAACCCTTTGGCGAGGGTTACCACCTTCACCCGGTGGCTCTCTCAGATCAGATTCGTCGTAGAGACGTGATCTACGATCGGCGGAGCGTCGTTCGACGATAATTTGTTCGCGAGCGATCGTCGGCAGCGTTGTTCGGACCGCGAAAGGGTCGAGATCAGGTCGGAACTCTGCGTTGCCCGGGTTTTGCCCGGGGAATTCATTGGTATTCTGGGTCAGTCGGGAACTTTGCGATAATTCGATGTCTCGACGACTGCAACAGCGGCCTCCGTCGTCATCGTCGACCAAAGCGTTCTACGTGACTTTACCCGCTTCTCTGCCGACCCCTGCGGACACGCTCTTCCGGCTGTTCCACACGTTTTTCCTCCGCTCGTTCGCCGTTTCGCTTTACGGCCTACGAAAAAAAAAAAGAAAAGAAAAGAAAAACAGTTGGCATCCACCGGTATGAAAATTGCGATTTTCCGAGTACGAATTTAATCAAGAATTCGCTTTATTTGATTTATTAGTTCGCGGAAAGAGCCGTTTCATTACTCGCGATCAATTATTAAATCATAATTATTCAGCAGCGGCTGTAACGTCATGTTCCCTCCCATTAATACTCGGTTCCATTATTTTCGTTCCTCCCGGCAAATTATATCGCGTTTTAATGATATGCAAAAATTCTCGTTACTCGGCCTCGGTTGATCTATTAATTTGTTGCTTATTTAAATGCAATTATCGTCGAAACACGGAAGCTCGTAATTAAATCCAGATCGATCGTACGTCGAATTCCCGTGGAAGGGACGGGATCGTGCGCGACGTCGTGTGCTATTTTTTTTTTTCTTCTTCTCTTTTTAACGAACAGACAAAGGCCCGTTGATGCACGTGCGGCTGGAAATGAGGTGGTAATGGAACCAAGTGGTCCTCGATTCGACCCGTTCAATAAACTTTAATCGGCGAAATTATACCTGTTGACGGTGGAACTCGCGGGCCACTTTTAACTCGGTCCGATTCGCGTTCGACGACCGACCGGTCCTCTGAACAATGTAACGAAAGAGGAATGCATAATGTGCGTTTACGCGAGATATATATCGCGCGCATTTACGCGAATTTACGCGAATTTATCGAATATCGTTTCGTGCGCGTATCGTTGGTGAAACTGGAATAATGAGATTCGCCGGCGAGTAATTTATTAACGAGTCCGGCGTTTCGAAAAATCGTTCGAATAAAATCTGAAGCGACGGGTCTCGCGCAGATTGACCGCAGCAGACGAGATTCGACGATCGAATCGAGATCGTTGCGTGTAATCGGACGTTAATAAATAATTTCTGTCTGCGCTCGTGAACGCTCGACGTGTCGGTGTTCTCTCTGTGCCGAACGAATTCTTCGCTGGCAAACGTTGTTTTACTCGATTTTCCGATATTAACCGTAGTCACAAATATTGCTTTATGTCCGTGTAACAGGATTCGGGAGGGACGTTGTTCGATCCGATCGAAATTGAACATTTTTTCACGGAGGCCTGGGAATCGCGTTTCCCGTTGCTGGCACGCCGATCGAATCGCCGCTCGGCGGAAGAAATCGGGACAAACGAGGAAATTCGATCGAAGCGTTCGTAGTCGACAAAGGAAAGGAATTATACGTCGGTGATCCGATTCGACTGGCCGTCGCGTAAATTTATCGATTCACGAGTAGTCGATCGTGGCTGGTTCGCGATCGGAAGGACCGCGGGGGCCCTAAAACGTTTTTCGAACCCGCGGACAAAGGACACCGGCAGAGAAAATAGCCGTGGCCATAGATTTTTACGGGCCGTTTTCCAGCAGGCAAATCGCGACAATTTCGCCGGCCGTCGATGCGGAAAATGAGTTTCTGCCGGAAAAGTTCACTGGATATATTCGCGACTCCGGGAAACTCGAAAGATACGACCTCCCGTTCCCGGGACGAAGAATGCGATCCCCCGCCGGAAACGAATCCCGAGGAAAAGAAAGACGCTGTTAAAACTTTACGGATCGACCGACTAACGTGGATTTATCAGTCGGACCAATCGGTTTAGAATCGCGTCCAACGGCAGGAGTATTAAATTCGTCGAGTCTCCCCGGAGTCCGCGGAGTAAACGTCGTCGTTCCTCGCGAAAAAAAGATCCGACGATATAAATATGAAAATTGGAAATTTTCTGATTGCGACAACGGCGTTCCGAATCCGCGGAGGCTACGGATGATAACGAGCCGGCCGGGCGATGATCAGCCGATGCAAATTCCCGAACTGTGCGCGCGGCGATAAAACCGAGTGCCCCCATATTGCATATCGATTTTATACCGGATCGACGGCGAATGAAAAAGCCGAGGAACAATTGATAATAGGAAGGTTAGCCGGCTTCGAATGGCTACGAGAGAGGTAATAAATCGCGTGAAATCTGCACCCTCAGCGTCTCCCAACTTCCAACGATGGCGAACAGAGATTCGGAATTACGTATTTCCCTTGAGGAGCTCCTCGAGCAATTAATATAAAATTCGTATCTGCCATACTCGTCAGATTCCCGAGCAATTTGTCAGCGTCGACTCTCTCTCTCTCTCGTCGGAGAAACCTCGTTCGACGTATTTACGTTCGCGCGATTACTTCTGTTTTTTTTTTTTTATTTCGTTGCACGCAGAAACGGTATGCAGATTCGGCCGGGTCGATACGTCGATGCTACATTTATTATTCTTTACGTCTGCGAACGTGTTTACGATTCTCTTTTGGTTCTGTTCCAGGTCACTGGAGTACGAGTTTCTACGGTCATCGCTTGGTGAGTGAGAACTAAAAATTGAAAGTTACGTCTTAATCGAATTTTGCACGCGCTCCGCGAATCTCGAGACGGTAAAAGGTCCGTTTATAAAATTTCAAATCGGACGAAAGAGGACGTAGGAGGAGGGTGTTTGTGGTCCGTCGTGGACGAGGGAGGCAAGGCTACGACGCGACGCAAATCGATCGGAGCAGAAATTCACCGGAAATGACTGTTCCCGTGTGTGTTCCGGCAGTCAGCCGCGAGATTTATCGGGAATTTTCGTGCCTAGGTCCCGGGGCCTTCTCTCGTCGTCGTCGATGCACTTCCGTCGGCCGTCGATCCGTCCGCGCGATAACGTCGAAAACCGTGTGGTAAGAACCGCGGTGATGAAACGTGCAACGAAAATGACGCGCGAAAAATCATGCGACGACGATCCTCTCGCGCACCTTCCGTTTGATTTTCGGCGCACGAAGTTTTCTCGTTTCGTTCGTTTCTTCCGTTTCATTTGTCAAAGCTCTCGCTTGCAAGAAGGAGACCGTTGCCTCGAGTCGGTTGGATAAAAAATTGCCCGGCTCGAATCGACGTCCGGCGAGCATTTTTCACTGGTTTAGCAAACCTTAAAACTCTTCCTTTCAACGTCCCGGGGGTGATTTATCGCCGATACACGCTCGATGAAAATAGATTTATGCGCCCCAATAAAATCGTAACGGACCCGGTAATGCACCTGCCGAGTACGCGCTTTCTTCTCTCCAAGGTTTAGAAATCGCACCGTTCAATTCCGTTCTAGCTTAGAATACAGTGAGCACATGATAAAATTGCCCGTCTGTCTCGTCGACGACGTTTAATCGACGGGGGGCGACGCGAGAAGGGACGAGCGCAGGTCACGACGCACTGTTCCGTGTCCGTTCATTATTTATTAGCGAGCGAGAGAGAGAGAAAGAGAGAGAGAGAGAGAGAGAGGAGGGTTGAATCTCGTCGAAAATACCCATCGAAGAGATCCGCAGGGTGCCACCCTCCTCCGATCCTTTCCACGCGTTGTTCGTCGAGTTCGCAGAGCTGCTTCTTTATTTTCTCCTTTTCGGCTGCTCCTCTTCCCGTCTAGTTGCACACGCTCGTGCGACCTGTTACGAGTCCATCGTTCTCTTCTTTTTTCGCACCGCGTGTTTGTTCCTCTCCCGTCTCTCTATCGGACGTTTTCCCTCGCGAAAACATTGCATACATTTATTTATTCTGAAAGCACCTTTATACTCGATCCAATTGTTTCGCTCTCGTTTGTTCACATCAATTACATCCGTTAATTACGTCGGTTTTTTGCGAGAATCCATTTTTCTTTCGGCCGGCACGTCTTCTTCGCCGTTCACTCGTTATCTCTCTCATTTTTCCGCTCTCCAGTTTTTCTTACCATAAAGGGGTCTCTCCCCGCGCTTTTCTATTTCCTTTCGCATCTTTCCACCCTCATATATTACTTTATAACCTGGCCCGGTACACCGTTCACCCTGTCTCTCTCTCTCTTTCTCTCTCTCTCTCGTCCGTTCTACGTGTTCCCATCCATTTTTCACTCCGCAGGGTTTCCTCTGTGGCTCTCATCTTTTTGCCGCCACGCTTCTCCCCTTTCACCTACCCTTTCGGTAATGTTCCAACGTGTCTTCGACTCCTCTCTCTCTCTCTCTCTCTCCACTTTTTTCGCCGATTCTGACGCGTTTCGACGTCCCATATTCTCACTGTCACTCCCCTTCCGTCACGGCTGCCGCGTGTCACACGCTCTCCCGTTTCCATCTCGCGTTTTCCTCTCTTCCAATGATAAAACATATTACTATTCAAATTCTTCGTGTCCAATTCCGTCGCCGTGTTCGCCGATCCGTTTAGGAGGAGATGTGTTTCTTCGATCTCGTTCGATTCGGAGGAAGATCTGCCGAGCGAAACTCTGCAGATAAAGTACGACGCGATGAAACGCGTGGCAGCGACGACGACGACGACGATGATGATGATAATAATAATAATAATAACGACGATACGACGAGGGGTCGGCCGGTGGTAACAGGTCCGACACAATGCCGCAACTTCCTCCGGGTGAGAAACAAAAGATTCAATTTTACAAACGCGCTGCGTGTCGCGTACGCAAAGGGAGGGCTCCGCTAACGAGCCACCCCTCGGTAGTCTCTGCACATTTTTCGGTGGTGAACGCGTGTCCCGCGCGCGCTCGGCAAGGAAGTTCGCAATGGGAGAGGGTTCGCGTTTGTTTCGAGGGTGCAGCCTCGTAGCTGCGAGAAATAAAAGATTAAACTGGCGGTGGGGTCGCGACCGGAGCGGGGGCGCAGTTTATTTTGGCCAGCCGAGAAATCGTGAATTTTTCCAAGCTGCAGGAACAACGGTTTAAAAAATTATAGATGTTCGTATTAAAAATTGAAAACGACGAATCGATCGAGGCTGCCCTCGAGGTGTTTGTCGTCGGGGGGATCGAGTCATGGAGGGCTCGTCCGTCTCTGGATAAATGGAATTGGACAGTTTCGTGAACTCTGCTCCGATGGCCTTGGTTCTTGGCGAAAACTCTCGAAAACGGAAGTTAAATTGCTCCCTGAGGGAGCCATGAGGCAAGGCGGGATGGTCATTTCGTTCTGCCATCGAGCAGCTGTAAACAGCCTTCCGGTTCTTTCTTTACAACGGCTCTTCCCAACGAGTCTGATCCGAACAACTCCGTTCCCGCCTTAATGCCCTCCGATTACCGGTGAATCGCGGACTTTATACGTTCGCGAAAGAAATATATATGCGCGTCGTCCAACTCGTCGATACACACACACCCGTCGGTGCGGAAATTCTATAACGTTGACTCGGAATCGACGAGGATCGGCTCTGCGGTTCGTCGATTGCGGCCGTGTTTGTTGTCGGCTCACGCGTGGAACGTAGACGGTTCGCGCGAAAGTTCGTCGACGGAAATATGTGGGTTATTCGCGGCACGGTGCTTCGCGTATTAGCAAAAGTTTCCGGCCGAAGGTGTCGAGAATCCGATAATAGTTCCTCGAACAATTTCGGAAACGATGATCCTCCCTCGTCCCCGGAAGAAACAGACGCGAGAGAGAGAGAGAGAGAGATCGACGCTTCCGCTCGCGATTTGAATGCCGAGACGAAGTTTCGTCAGAAGAAATGGGTTCGAAGTAAGGAGATAAACAGACCGTCGCACGAATCGTACGGATGAATCCGATGGGAATTTACAGCGTCCGCGAGCATAAGGTCAGACGGAGGAGAACGTCCGGCGAGGAGAAGATCGGATCAGAGTTTTTCTCGAGCCGTTATCCTACGATTCTGCAGCCGGTTCGACTATTTTCTCGGTACGCTGGATACACCCGGCTCGATCAGCGCGATAACGGTCCACTCGATTCAGCGTTTTATTCGTTACAACGTAAGAGAGAACACGCGGCGCGCCTGGTATCTCGGAATCGAACGGTCGATATCCGCGCGTCGTTCGGGAATCGAGGAGGTTTCGTAGGCGCGTTCGTTTCGCAGTGGCCGGGGGATATTACGGTCCGATAGAGAACGACGTCTCCTCGCTTTTCCCCCCCGTTTTCATCCGTATTAATTCCTGCGAACGTGGGCGATAAAAAAGAATGGGCCACTCCGATTTCGGGATGGCCCATGATACTCTTTTACGTCGATGAAAATTAATACTTGGCGACGTACTCGCCGGGACCGAAAAAAGATGCGCTGGCCGACGTAGCGTAATCTTATCCGCGAAAAAGGAGAACGTGGAGACGAACTGCTGGTCGATGCGTTCGCGCATAATTCACGAGCATCCTGCGCGAGGAATAATTCATGCGGGCGCGTCCCGGAGCCGTGATACAAAGCGACACGCGACGCGGTGCATTAGCGAGCGAAACCACGCGGGACGAGGCGGTACACGCGTCCGGTTTCCGCGTTCCAGGCTTCGACGCGGTTTCCCGATTTTCCTCGAGGTTTCACGCTTATCCGGATACCTTTTCAACGAAAACCCGGCCTCGTTCGATCGATTCTCACTGCCGAAACTCGCGCCATTTCTACGGATTCCTCGTTCCAGCTTTTTCCAATACGCGCGTGTGTACAAACAACCGAGTCAGAATGGATTCGGTGCGAAACGACGTTCGGCGTCGATCTCGTCGAAATAACGTCGAGAATAATGACTCGAGCGAGACACTCGCGGGAACCGGGGGAAAAATGATCTTCTCGGTGGACGGCCGTGTCTCGGTTTTCCGGCCGTCCGATTACGCGACGTTCTCTCTGTTTACCGGGACAAAGGAGAGCTGGTCGGGGCGAAGAAAGCGGATGCCCGCTGGACGACGGTCGGCCGACGACTCCCTGAATAGATTACAGCGCAGGGAAATTTGAAATTCTGCCGTTCCCTCGCCGGTGCACAAAGGCGTTCCTCCTCGTCCCTCTCGCGCGTTTCCGCCACGAATCGCTCCTTTTTATCAGTCCATCGTGTACCGTTTCGCGTGCATTTCTAAGGGAATTATTTCGGCGTTCCGTCGGTACCGTCGACGCGGTCGCAATCGTCGCGGATGGATAGTTATTATTTTATTTGTCTCGCGCGCGCGTTTGGTTTCTTCTCTCTCGCAGCGAGGAACCGAAAAGCAGCTCTGAATAAATTAAAACGCGGAGGGGAAATATGAAAATTCGCAAGTTCTGCCTCGCGGACGTGACAAAAATGAATTATTAAACTTCTCGACCCTCGCGCCCCCGTTTTATCACGTTTCCTCCGACACCGTCGTACATACGTACGTACCCGCTATGATCGTTTCAATTTCCATTTCCACGAGAGAGAGAGAGAGAGAGAGAGGGAGGGAGGCGTAGCTACGTTTAACCACACCGTCTTATCTGCCATGATTTTTTTGCTCTCGCGCGGTACGAGGCGCAATTTCGAGGCGCGCGTCGTCCCTCCGCCTCGTTATTTCCCTCGCACGAAGACGGCAGCTCGTTCCGTTTCAATCGCGAGTAAACAACTCTCGTTCCATGTTTAAATTACTGGATGCAGTGTCACGTCTGTTCCATTGAATCTCGTACGTGAGATCGCGTCGTCGCGGTTCCAAGAGCGACGTACGTCCGGCCGCCTTGACGAGCTCGAACAAAGTTGGTAAATCAGAAATTTCATCGGAATCCGAAGCAATCACGCGGTGCGTTCACGTGTGCCCGTGTCCTCTCGCGCCACAAAGCTAATCTAAGTAACGGGAGCTCGCGTTTCAATTCCCGAGTCGTTTGATCCGTGGACCGCGACGAAGCAATCAAACCCACCCTGGCTATGACCTTTTTTTCCTTCCTCTCGTTATTTTCGTGACGCCGGTGGCACCCCCCCGGCAACCCCCCGTTTCCATGCGCGGTTTAATCGATGCCGTGATCTGCGTTTCACGAATTCAGAGTCAGAGTCGGCGGAGGATCCCGAGGAACGTGTCGGACTCACGGTTAATAAACCGTGGCCCTCTGTCCGTCGTTCGGCGGCCGCGATGGCCCATTAACGTTCGTTTTAACTGCGACTAGCCAGGCTTTTATAAATCCTCTGTTCATAGTGATTTGTCGCGCCCTTTAAAACGCTCTCTGCGTAAAACCCTTATACCTTACAATTACAGTCGCCGGTGCGAAAGAACCGTTAGCATCATTTGTTGTTACTCCATTATCATGGATCCTCGGCCGACTGTAAATTCTCTTTACGGTCGGTGGTAACGCGCGTTCAATATCCGTTTTTAACCAACGGACTCTCGTTTCTGCGGGTCCCACGACGAAACGTCTCCGAAGAGATTCGTTCATCGTACGTTTCTCGCACGATCTCCTTCTGTCCGATCGGAGAAAATTCGACAAATCACCGACGTCCACGGGAATCGAGCGAGTAGCCAGCGATTTCCTCCCTCCACGGTCGTCGAAACGATGAAACATATCCCCCGATCGTCGCAGGGACGCGTTTTACGCGGTCGTTTACGCGCTCGCATAAATCCTAGGAAGGTTCCTGGCCAACGGTGGTAACGAGTATAAACGAGTAAAAGACGAATCGGTCGCGCGATCAGGATCGAAAAATAGTGCGGCAGTTGGATTTTTATTTAACGTCCGGAGGATGGACAGACAGGGGAGGTTTTTGTGCCGAAGCCGGCCACTCGCGGTTTTTCCCTACCTGTTTCCGAACCGGTGGTTTCCGATGTTCGAGGAGTTGCCCGGGGCGATAAGGGGAATCGTATTGTTTCGTTCGCGAAAGGCGAATCGACGGCTCGTGTTTATTCGACTCGCTGCCGGCCGCATCCCCGTCTCTACGTATCGTCGTCTCGTCGAGCGCAACGTACGTCGGTAATTGAAAGGTTTCGTTGCACACGCGGCAGTCCCGTCCGCGAAACTCCATTTCCCCGGCGCTGAAACCGGAACGCGGCCGAACCACAGAGACCGGACCCGCGACTCTCGCGCGTCTGGAGCACACGAGGGGTAGGACGAGAAAATCCGCAGACTCCCGAGACGAGAGTGGCCGGAGGGAAAAAAGAGGCGTAATCGTAAGAGCTGTTTTACAGCACGCGAAGACTAATGGAATATCCTTGTAAGTCGAGCCGGGGAAGAAGCGGTGGGAAAGTTGAATCGGTGAACCGTGACCATCCGAAATACTAATACCGAAAACTGTAGACGATCCCGAATTTCTGACGAGCCGAGATCTTCGAACGTGATCTATTACTCCCGTGGACTCTTTGTTCGCGTCGTTGATTTTTCTTTGAAATTGCGAGTACGCGCGACAGACTCTCGATCGCCTGATTATGAGACTCGACCTCTGACCCGAATCGAGCACGACGTAAATTCAATCGCACGTTTACGAACGCGACCCGATGAACACTGTTCCGTCGCGTAAAAGTTTGATTCGACACGAGGTTTTATCTGCCTGTCCCCGGAGCGATACGCGCCCCCCGTATCTCAGGTGTACGCGCGGTCTGACGCTCCACTCCCTGCACTCTGTTCTACCCTTCTCCGAAACTGTCGGTCTGCACACGGTGGAAAGTTTCGATTCTGCCTACAGCCCCTGCGGCGTTCGATTCCGTCGAGCGTGCAGCTGAAATCCTGGTGGAAAAAAATTTCGATCGCGTTAACTCCAGCCGACTCAATTATTAACTTCTGTTTGCTCGGTCGTTAATTGATTCTAAACGAGCTCCGTCCCGAGCTTTTACAAGTCGCTGTTTAAAATTACGTTTACCGGGTGATCTCTGACGGAAGTAGAGCGTTCCTAATCGGTGGTTGATAAACATCGCGGGGGTAAATATGATCAGCGAAACGCAGCGCAGACGTTAAACAGGACAGTGTGTACACGGTTCCTGTTCGGATCGCGTGAATCTACGATTCAATGGAACAGACCGTTTCTTTACCGATGCAACGGCGCTGTATCGATCGACCAACATAAAATTTATTCCCGGATAACGAACGATACGTTGTCGAAATATACTATAGCGATCGGGATCATGTCGAGATCGAACGATCTGCATTCTGTGTACCAGCGTTGCAGCGATACCGGCGAAAGTTTTCACGGTAGAAACAGATTCGATTCGGACTCGGCGTTAACTGTTCGCCGCCGATAGAAAAACGCTTGCGGTCCAATTCGCGGTCGCTTTTTCCACACCGTTCCGGCGTACGTTTTAAACGTATTCACAGGACCAGCGAAACTCCATTTTTTTAACTCGAATTTGCACTCATTATTCACGCGGGACCGTGTCCATTCAGAGAAATATCGAAGAACGCATCGACAGAGGAATTCCCGTATAGATTTTTATTTGAGGAGAACGCGAGGGAGAGATTCCCCGTGTGACCTGACCGTGTGAATGTTCTTTTCTGTCGGGACTCGCCTCGGTCTCTCCGTGGATGTTGGATTTCACGGTTTCTAAGTTGAGAAAGAACTTGCCTGACGAAATTACGAGAAGTTTTGATCGCGAGGTCGATGAACAATCGCAATTAGAATTTCATTACGCGGCTACTTAAAATTTACAGACTCGTCGAGGCGGTCCACTCGTTAACAAACTGCTCGGAGGAAGAGTTTATGAGATATTCCCAAGTCGGCCGAGACTCGAGCGCTTCCCAATTTCGAGCTTCCGCGATTCCTTTCGGGTGTTTCCGTTCAATTTGCACGTTCCTCTCCCGCGCGTCCGAGAGTCCGACAGATTTTTCGTGCGAATTATTTCGCCGTAATTCGGTTTTAACGAGAGCACCGAAAGTTCGACTCACGTCGGACGATTAGGGCGCGTTTTAGAAATTGCTCGAGAGGTTTCCTTAATTTCCGGAAGGTCACGCGTCCCGCTGGACAATTTCACCGGTCTGTACGTGTCGCGACGCGACGACACAAAGAAGATACCCTTAATTCTTCTCCGAGAGACGCCGCATTGCGGAGAAGCGTCCGAGCCTAATCGCGCGTCCGACTCGTCGCCGCGTCCACCGGATAAACAACGTTTACGTAAATGTTTCGTGTTCTCTCGTTGAACATAATTCCCGCGACCTGGCAACGAATCATCCTCAGACGGGTTTAGCTCGCAACGTTCACGGAATATTCCTGGAGCGAACGCGTACCGAGGTACTACGTCTATTAGACGGGGAGTATCGGAAAGGCCTACGCGTCTGACTCGGTGCACGTTAAGGGAGTTCATACGCACGCACGCGTATCTACGTGGTTACAACAGCAGATCCCAGTGAACTATGGGACCCACGGATCGCAGCGTCCATTGGACGCCAGGATTTTCAGCGAAAGAGAACAGAGCTTGAGAATTTGATAAACGAACTCGTTCCTCGCGATGGTCTAATTCGAATCGCGGGTGTAAAATAGGAAGCGAGTCTGGAACCGTGACGAGTGCCATGAATACGTTTAGGAATATCTTATTGGAAACAGTGAGGGTTTCGGGAATAAGCCGGGAGGCGAACGATACCGTAAAACCTTAGCTACTCCCCCCGGCGATAAAAAGAAGAACAGGAAGAGAGAGGAGAAAGAAATGGAAGGGAACGCCGCGCGCGGTCCCAGATACAAATACGCGGTTTGTCGCGTGCATTCCGTTCACGTGCGTCGAATCACTGCGTTCCTCGATGCGACGTTCACCCCGACCCTTCCTACGATATTTCCTTGCGCCCCTGTACCGATCCAACCCTTTCCCCCTATCTGTTCTGTTTCTTCCACCCTCTGTCGATCTTTTTTTCCTCCCTTTTAAGAGCCGAGTAGAATTCGTCGCACGTCGGCTGCCGCAGACAGGCTTTTCAGAAACGCATTTGCACACGACGAGCACAGGGAACCGGCCAGGTGGTCGATAAAGAAAACGAGAACACGGAGGGACGGGGGGTGGAAAGATCAACGCTGTCTGTCATCGAACGGGGGAGAAACCGAGTTTGTTATTTTCATTTCATCTTCACCGCGAAAAAACTATGCGTAGACGTCGCTACGTAAACAGATCGAAGAGACACGACTAACGAGAGTCGAACGCCTGTCGAATTTGTTTAAAACAAAAGGGGATGGAAAAAGAACTGGAGGACCAATTAGGTGGAGTTTAATGAAAAAAACAAAAGGTCGTCCGTGGAACGGATAAGCGGGGGACAATGGTTAACCGGAAAACGGTCAAAGGCAAAGACGTTGCGAAGCAGGAAGCGGCGGGGGATTCTGCGAATAGCGGCGGGTGGATTACGGCACAAAGACCAGGGGGGGAGATCCGGGAAATAACGCCGGAAAATATTACCGAGTCGTTGGTAATTGTCGCGATCGCCGATTCGGAAGTATTAAAAAAAAGAATCGGTTGAACGTATCGTCGTATGCTCGAAACGTCGTAACGACGAGCTCTGGTTTAACCAATGAAATTGTTTTTGGTTTCAGAAGCCTGTCCGCGGAGGAGTTCAACAGGATTAAGAACGTAAGTTGTCATTAAAATCTCTTCTGTATTTCAAACGATCCGCTCGGCACGCAGAGAGCGTTCGCGTAAAAAATTCCTTTCCCGCTTCGTTGAGATTATTCCACGCTAATTGAATCTCGCGGAGCCGTCGAAAAATGTGGCACCCATAATCCCGAGTGTGTTCGTTCGTTCGTTCCGCTCGCGAACCAGCAGCAGTGATTCGTCTCTCTCGTTCTCTCGTAAAATAAATGTGTACCGTCGAATCGATAATTAGATCAATTAGCCGAGAAGCAATTTGTCGCGTTTCCGCGAGCCGCTCGGAGCGTCCAGGGTGCGTCCGTCGCATTCCCTCTCACGGGGATTATCGTGTTTTTGTTTATTCAATACGTCACGCGCGCCGCGTAAGGGTAATATTGATCTTGCCAAACAAAATTGGTTGATTCTAGCTGGGAAACGGTGGAAAAATTTTACACAGTTTCATCAGGAATTCGGAAAAACTGTACGAGCGTACTTGCATTTCGTTCAAATTGATTACCGGTCACCATTGAATTCTCGCGGTAAGCAAAAAATGATGGACGGTAATAAAAACGTGGAACCGGACTGGTTTTGGAAATGGTTCCCGTTTGGTCGACTCGAGTCGGTGCGAAATTTATTATCCGTCTGGTCTCTGGCGACGCGCGGGACGGCGTCGCGGTGCATCCGTTAGGCCGGGCCGCGAATAGTTTAATAAGAACTCTGCCGGAAGAAAGGGAGCTTTGTCGGGAAAAGAGGACGAGGGAGAGAGAGTCTGTATTGCGGAAGATTATTTTGGGTATTCCAGCGTGGCTTTATAAGCCGCCGTCGCTGCGGGATAAGGGACGGGCCTGATATTAAAGCCTCCTCCTTCGTGGAACATTAACCGAGCGAATACCGGACCAGTGCGCGTCGGAATGTTCTCAGACCTCGGCTTATTAAATTTTCCACAGTTTTATACACTGCCCCGGGTTTGTTTGATTCTCGCCTCTCGCGGAATCCTCTTGATGAACTCGCCGCGCGTCCCACGCGAATCCATCGAACGATCGGACCACTTGGACAATTTTTAATAATCATCGTTGCGCACGGTCTCGTCTAGTTTTTCCGCGCGACGCTTTTCGTCTCAAAGCGAGTGCCTCCAGCGAATATCATCGTGGATTCTCTTTGCAAAGAAGATTGTGTTCTTAGCCCGAGAATTTCGAACCGAGACGGGGTGGAAAAAAATTACAGATGTCAGAAACAAATCCCGAGGAGACGAGACACGGAAAGTCGGTCTGGGAGACCGGCACGGAAAAAGCTGCTTCAAGACGTTTAAAACGCTCGGAGGTGGTCGTTTTCGCGAACGAGCTACGCGCGGTTCGCGACCAGCTTCCGCTTCCGTTCCCCGTCGTTTCCTTCCCGGGAAGTGAGGGTGCCACGGAAAAACTACACACAAATTACTATTCTCTCTCTCTCTCTCTCTCTCTCTCTGCTTGATAAAACATTGGCGGCGGAAGGGATTGGTCATTCTTGCGGCGTGCGATACGTACATAATTGGTCTCCCACGATGACCGGTCGGCGTATAACTGAAACGTCTGATCGACTGAAGCCTAATTGCCTCGATGCTCGCAGTCCAATTACAAACAGGCTACCGGCGGATGCCTGATTGCTTCCGGAGTGCTTGATGCCTCGTTGATGACTGACTGCGCACCGACTCGTTCCCGGGACCCGACGATCGATCACGTCTCAAGACGAATCACTGACGATCCGAAACGACGACGACGACGACGACGTCATCGCGATCGATCGGGAGTGGAAAACGACGGATCGCGGAATTAGCATTTCCCTCGTGGCCGATTTTCACGCTAGCGAAGCCGCAGCGACAAATCCGACCGACGGTTTTGCAATTTCAGCACTGGACTCGCTCCGTTTTGCGGTCACCCGCAATGCCAGCCGGTGCTACTCGCAATTATGACGCTTCTGAATAAATTAGTCGCGACTCGACGTGTTCGATTCGACGCCCACCTGTCGACCCGTCACTCGTTCGCCGACTTTTCACCGATCCGTCCGAACTCTCGGGTGTCCGTCGCGGGAAAACCGTGATTAAAGCTCGACGTCTAATTACGCCGTTATGGATCTGCGAATTTTTCCGCGGACTCGCCAGGCCGTTTTTCTGTCGCGCTGATAAACGGGTGGGAGGCCCATCTGCATCTCCTCTAAATGCGCGCGCGCGCGCGGCCGACGGTATACAGTGCGCCGGGTGCATTATGCAGCACGCATAATACCGGAGACAAATTGGACGGGGTGGAGGAAGGAAATAATAAAGCAACGGGCCCGTCGGGGTTCCCGCGGCACTGCAAACGACCGTCGTGCGTGTAAGCAATTCGAGGGATGCGCCGAAAAGTGCTTTCCAAATTGATATTCGAACGGACGAGCTTTTCACTCCTCTTCCTCCTCCTCCTCTCTTTACGTTTTACGCTCCTCGCGTATGAATCGGCCGTCTCGAAATTCTCGATTGATGGACGGACAGAATTTTTTATTCGTTCTCTCGTTTCGATCCAAAGTCGATTATTATCGCGTGACCGAATCAGAATTCCTAGAGACTCGTTTTGAAAGAGGTTCGGAGAGAAGGAGCAGCGGTTATAGTTAGCCGGGTTAATTGCGAAACAGGGATATCGGTATGATTCGAGGGAGGAACAAAGGGCTGTCACGAAAATATGACGCTCTTAGGGGAGCGTTGTTATTCGGGAAATTATTAATACCTTCCCAACGTCTCTCTCTCTCTCTCTCGGTTACTCTCTAGCCCGTCTGGTCTGAAACTGTTATTACCGGAACAATTACTTGCTGCGCGGCTTGTTTAATGTAATAAGCCGCGATACGACGTGGAATAGGTGGTATATACTGTTCAGTAATTGCGACCGGGGACTCGGGCATCGAATCCGCGAGCTACCAGTTTCGGCAGACCCTCCTACCTTGTTTGCGGATTTGTTAATTACCGAGCGACCTTCGCCCGCCGATCTAGTTTCACGTCAACTTGGGGGGACGATCGACGACGACGACGACGAGGGTTCAGATGGAAAACGTGGTCGATTAAAAATGCTCGTCGTGATTCGGAAACGGTTTCTTCCAGCAGAGATCTTGAATCGTCGCGGCGAGGTTTGTTGCACCTGTCCTAGTGTGTGTGTGTACTACCTGTTCGAAACGTCTGGGCCGGTCTGCGGTAGGTCGGGCACCTCTACTAGTACGGGGGTTTCGCGCCAAGGCTCGTTCCGGATTCATCCCGAAAATGAATTTTAGATTGCGGCGTAACCCGCAGCTGCGTGCGCGGCTCGTAATTCCGGGGCTGAGTACAACTGGCCGGCGCCGGTAAATAAATAAGCAAATAAATGAATAAATAAACGGCGGGACGGAGAGAGGGCACACCGTCGGGGGAATTTATTCGCTGATTCCGACGCTCGAATCCCCCGGACCGCCGCGATTTACGATCCTATTTCGTTGGCAACGGATTCGCGAGATCGATCTGCCTCCGTTGTAAATCAGCACCGCCGACCAGTTAGAAAATTGCGATAACTTGGCGAAACCATTAACGAGTCGTTGATTTAAGAGCTGCGAGTCGTCGCGTTCTCCGTGGAACGAAGATCAGCGGACGGACGTCGGTCGGTCCCCCGAGAGAAAGTGGTTCGTCTCCTGTACGCGCGTTTATTTGCCGCGAGGGGAGAAAAAAGGCTGGTAGCTCTGAAAGGCGTTTTTCCCGATCCGCGTGTATCGGCCGCTCCGGCGAAACAATCGTCGAAAACTTGGGACGACGGTGCGGATCGTGGCTTCCAGCCGGCCACGCAACCAACGGACGAACAATCGCGCGCCGCCCCGGTTTGTTTCTCTGCGGCTTCATCCCCTTTTTCCATCCTTTTGTTCTCCGACGTTGCTCCCTTCTTTCGTCCTCTCTCTTTTTTCGATTCTGCTCGAGTTCCTCCTTTCACCGGGAAAAACTAGCATCCGATTAAATCCCCGGACGAAAACGCACTGCTTGCTACCGACAATTGTATCAACAAATTTCGGATTGTTAAAAACCGTTCCCACCGTCCCGTGAGAATATAATTGACGCCGCGTAAAAATTCACGAGACGTCTTTGGCTGGTGGTCGTCGATATAAATACCAGAGACGAACGTTTTAATCTCGTTCGACTGGTATCGGAGCATTTTTGCGGCTACGGATGATAAAGGTAAAAAGGAGAAACGGATGGGAAACCGAAGAACATAAAACTGGTGCGGGTGCATAACTGTGTTGAAGAATTCCGAGCAGGGAAACGGCGATAATAAAACAGCGACTCGGGTATGCGCGCTCGCTGTTTCGTTCCCAAGTTTCAGGAGAGATGTAAAACTTGGGAAATTCTCGAAAATAAATCAACGTCTCGGGACGACGTCCCACCGGTTATTCCAACTTACCAATCGAACGGCAAAACAGACCAATTGCAGATTTTATTCGTAAGAACAGAAATATAAAAAAGCTCCAGTTCGACGATCATCTATGCAGATTCGCGTCGAAATATTTGCCGGTACTTATCGACACCGAGGTGAAATCAAAAGGCCAAGTTCGAACGAAACGGGGACTAACTGTAGTATCTCGCGCAGACACGCCGGCTATCACTTTGCAGCAAGTTTAAGTTTAATTAGCGGCTGATATGCGGCTCCGGTCGGTAGCTGTTTACGGGGAAACTGGCGAATGACCGCGGACACCGCAACTCTCGAAAGCTGCCTAGTACGTATTAAAAGCACGCCGTACTTGAACCGAACTTTCGTTCGCCGATAATCATGCCAATTAAACCATGAAATACTCGCTCGGCCTCGTACGATCGAACCCAAGACTCAAAACTGTCGATTACGTCTTACGAAGTCATCTGATTCGAATTCACGTTTTCCCTTTCGAAGGAAGCCAAACCGTAATTAGCTGAAGGCAGAGAATTTTCAGGTTTGTGAACGCGCGCGAGTCGATCACGGCTACGAACACGGAAAGAACTCGCGGATCTGCCG